AGGGGTGCCCTCCCCGTACCAGGATGAGAAAATAGCTCTTATCACCTGAGACTTGGAGTTAAAGGCTGCAGTGGACCCCGAGAAACACACCTAATCACATAACCCTTGCCCCTCCCATGTATCTCCGAGTAGTTACTCTCCTAGAAAATTTACTGCCCTTAGCTAGATTTTCCGTGTCCTGTCATTTCTTCTCAAATTTATTGTTCTTTATCTAAAGAGGATAAAAGCATTTTGCTTTGGCTACCTCTTCAGAATTCATGCTTTTGTGAAGACCCCTGTGTACATGTAAAACTAATAAAATGAGTCTTCTTTTCTCTCGTTCATCTACCTGGTGTCAATTTGCTTTCTAGATCCAGCTGAAAAGCCCACTAAGAGCTAAAAAGGGGGTTGGAGGTGATCTCTGGCTCCCATACAATAGTCCTTTTTCCTCTGTGGTAACACTTCTTGGCCCATGGAAATACTAATTCAATGGACCCAGTACTGTTGGAAATACTTGGCTTTCTGTGTTCATGGAAGAATGTGATCTTAGGAAGGGATTCTAGCCAGTTATGATAGGGTTGCCTATTAAGAAACCCAGTAAAGCTCCACCCTCTTTATCTCTGAGAGTAAACTTACTGCTCTCTTTGTGGACTCTAGTCACATGACACAATCAAACATTATCTTAGTGCCTGGATTGGTTCTTGTGACATACAAGTAGGAGAGGGTGACCCTCTGGCAGGAGCAAAGGTGCCATGGTGGCAGGGTCCCAAGGCTGCCGCCCGCTCGTCCTGGGCCTGCTGCTGTATGCGCTCGGGCCCGCTGTGTCCCAGGCTGGGAAGGTGCTGTTCGTCCCCATGGATGGCAGCCACTGGCTGAGCACTCTTGGGGTCATGCAGCAGCTGCAACGGAGGGGACATGAAATAGTAGTCCTAGCTCCTGAGGCCTCAACGCACATCAAGGAAGGAGAATTTTACACCATGAAGAGGTACCCTGTCCCATTCCAAAGGGAGGACTTGGATGCGGCTATTGTTGATCTTGGGCATTACGCTTTTGAGAACGGTCCTTTCCTACAGCGTCTGGTCGAAACGTACAAGAGAGTAAAATCTAACTTTGCTCTACTTTTTTCTGGCTGTTCCCACCTACTGCACAACGAGGAGCTCATGGCCTCCCTGGCAGAAAGCAGCTTCGATGTCATGTTGACAGACCCTTCCCTTCCCTGTGGGCCCATCGTGGCCCAGTACCTGGCTTTGCCTACTGTATACTTC